AGGCTGACGAGACGAGGGTGCGCTTGCAGCAAATCAGAGACACACTTCACGGCAAAGGCTAGCGACTCAGCAACCTGCACCTCGCGCAGAAAACCCAGAATTCCACAGCCAGTGAAAGAAGCAGCCATGAGACCAATGGAGCGAGACCGACCCTCAGAGCGGTTCCCTTTCAAGGTGTGACAGTCGTGGGCGGTATAGCTTCCCGACGCTCTGCACGGACAGGAACAGGACATGGTTGGGCTTGCCTGTCCGGATGGGAGAAGCTGAATAGAAAGCGACGACCCCCGAAACACCCGTTTTTTACCTTTAACCCCGCCTGTGCTCGGGGCAGAATCGATGTCCCCGGCACGTTTTGGCTGCACAGATTCGCCGTAGTTGCAGTGTAGGCACTGGAAGCTGCATTGGTGGCAGTCGAAATTCACAGACCTGCGAGCGAAACAGCTTCCACCCAGCATCCAGGACCATGCGGGTGGAGCATCCGGGTATAGCGCAAAAAGCCTCATGCCGTCGAAGCCAAGTGTCTTGAAAGGCCTCTAACCATGGCGCCTGCCAGCGCTCAAGTTCTCTCTCCATGTCGCTGCCAGAGAACCAAAAAGCTTGCGCAGGCAGATCTACTGCTGCAACGGAGTCCACGGAGTGCGTGCAGCCCAGGCCTGCACGGGATCATTTTTCGGAACTCTATACATAGCTAGGCGAAAATTTCACATCTGGAACACGTTACGGTTCGCAGCAGGCCTCCTCGCTGTAGAAAGTCCAGGAGAGCATAAAGAAGATGAGCCCGGACGAAAAGCTCTGTAGTGCGCGGCGTTGCGAGAGCATCACATTTCCAGAAAGCAGCATAACTGCGAAGAAATCCCTGGTAGGTAACCTGGTTGTGCATAAGCAAGCATTCAAAGTGACGAATGAAATCTAGGCTGAAAGCCACAGTTGTGAAGCCTGTTTGCAAGCACATAAAATCTTGCAGCCGCCCCGCCAGCTCCATTCGAAGGTGACTGCAGCGTGTAGGACCGGGCACAAGGAAATTGTGGAAGTACAACGTTTCACAAGCACAGCAGAGAACTGCAACGTGTTTGTATTGCACAGGTCCATAGTAATGACTGAGAACTGTCACGGTCCAATCAGTCAGTTTGGTGTGCGCCATCCCCCGTCGGGTCTGAGACAATCCGTCGGCCGGAGACAAAGGTCGCAGTTGCTGCATTGGGCAAAAGACGCAGCGGTTTCCAGACCATTGCAGCATGCTCTACTCGGGACGTGTTGCCCGTGAAGGACAACAGCTAAAAATACTGCGAATGCAAGCATGACTACAAACAGGCAAAGCGTAGTCAAGGTTCGTTTGAATACGGCGCATCTTCGCACAATCGTCCCGAAAATGCAAGCTTGGACAGATTCCGTTGGAATGTTAGCCGAAAAAAACGCAGCTCTTGTGTGTGCAAACCAGTGTAGTCGCGCCTTTTTTGTTGCGGCGTGAGCAAAAAAGCCTCGTGGATGGAGAAACTGCCGATCACAGAGCCGCAGGTGGCGAGGATGCATCCCACTCAGAATCACTCGACGAAGATACAGAAGCCGGTTCACTGTTGCTACGGTCGCCATCCTCGAACAGGTCTTCCCAAAAGGCAAGGGCTACACCGAGTTGCTTGTAGCAGATGTACATGAGGAAGTATCCGCCGCGCCGCCCTTCTTCCTGAGGCAGCTGTGGAAAGCGAGCCCGTACCGCAGGATTCAGGCGAAGAGAGACAGTATTGGGAAACCACGCAATCATGTGCAAATGTTCCGTCAGCCAGCGGATGGTGTCAAGCGGCGGGGCAAGGGAGGGGTTCATCGCCGGCAGCCAGCTGCTGCGCGTCCAGTTTCCCTCCGCCAAAAACTGGCGCAGATTTCCCGGCGCCGAGACATCGATATTCCAGATGCACCGCGCCACGATAATCAGCCCATGCGGGGCGCTGTGAGTGTCGAAGCACATAGCGGGTCGAGCAACCCCTTGAAAGACAGGTATGTGGAGCCCACAAGCACGGAGAGGTTCTAGTATAGCACGCACCTCTGTCTTGAGGTCTCGAGCATGGCAGAGCAAGGTGCGGTGCAGTTCTTCCGGCCATGGTGCCACGGCAGCCGCGGCGAGCAGATCGCCTAAGAAGAGCAGCTGTGGTAGAATCTCCGCAAGAACGTGTGCCATCGCTCCGGCAAGAAACATGGCTAAAGACAGATAGTGGCTCAGGCGGCGTTTTTGCTGCAGAGCCAAGTTACGCAATCATCCGAAAGCTGGTGGGGCGGAGCGGACTCATGGACTAATTCTAAGCTTCGTCGCGGGCAGACAGCCCAGTAACCAGAGCTGGCGAAGCCGAAAGCTCCGATTATGTACCTTCGGCAGGCGGAGCCGAGTGCCCGTACGTGGAAGCGGTGAACTCAGCGGAGCTGGCGGGGCCGATAGCTCACAAAATCTACCTTA